TAACTGTATTTTACACATTTGGTTAGAATTCGATGTTTCTGTGCAAATTGTCGATTGATGGGAAAATATGTTGATTTGTTGGCATGCTGATGATGTTGCTACTGTTACAGTTGCTAATACCGCCAAAAGTTCAATGAGGTCCGTTGCCGTTCGCCTTGGTCCATATCGAAATCTTCTGCTTTTCCTTCGAACGAAAAGGATTGTTGCCCAGATTGCTGATAATACCACTCTGAGTGGTCGTCCGATGATTATTGGTACATAGAGAAATGCGTAGCAGCCAATGCAGAGCAAGTAAAGGATCAATCCGCTTACTATTATTGCTCCTACGGGCCAGCATTCCGGATTGAGTACTAGTGAGGCGCATAATGTACAGTCTATGTTCGCGCAGAAGGATGTTGCTGGGCATGTCGTTTCCACTGTTGTCATCGTTGAGTTTTCACCTATCTTCGAAGTGAGTTCCAAACGCTGATGAGTCGTCTGAAAGCTATAGGTTTGTTGTCTGGTAGGTCTGGATTTTTCGCCATGGTAATCGGACATAATAGCCGTCTTCTCTCTTTTCTATGGTATTTCTGAAGTTGTCCCAGACCTGTTGGTCGACTTGGGCTTGTAGATCTTTTTCTGTGCTTGCAAATTCCTCTGTCCCCTCTTTTTCCATCATCCAGTATGCTTCCCATTTCCGTTTCTCTTCATTTTCTGTCCCATTTTCTTCTTCTTCTTCTTCAGAAATCCCATTTACTTGTGCTTCCAGAGTCCAGTATTTATCCCATGTTTCTAGATCTGCATCTTCTTTTCCTACCTGTGCCATTTGATGTTCTTTCTGTATTTGTCCCGTGAGGAGGTGACCGAGTTTCGTTGTTAAGAGATGAAGACCTGATGGCAATTTAACATGTGGAGTATCTTCCTTTATCAATTGCCATAATTGATCGCAACCTAACAGAATCAGCGGTTTGTGATCCTTGGTTGTCGTCGATTTCAAATTCAATGATTGCATAAATTGCATATCTTTTTCCAAGAGTGGTGGTGTCTTCAAAGGTTTTGTGAGGGTGTCATAAGTTAGTAACTGTAGTTGGTATGCGTTACCCTCAGCATCCCATGCTTCCAGTTCTACTTTGCGACTTAGACTTTCGTTAACTGTTTCTGATCCGAAAGTCCTCAACTTCAGCCTAGTCGTTTCTATTGTTGGTAGATGTAGTTCTTCTGCGAGGTTCTTATCTATGAAAGATAATTCTGCACCTGTGTCTAGAAGAACTGGGATTTTGTGTAAATTTCTAGTAATTGGGCTCATGACTTGTATTTCTCCCGTTGGGAGAAATGTCGAAGTGGTTCTTGATACTTGTTTTGATGTTTGAAGTTCGTAAATAGTTGTTTCCCCATCCTCACTTTTTCGACTTGTTTGGTGGATCTTCGCTGAAGTTACTGGTGATGATTTTGTTTGCGTTGGGCGAAGATTTTTTGATTTTTTCAGTTTTGTCTCCTTCGCTTTTTGATATGTGTTGCGTTTGTCCTCTCCTGTCATCCCCTTTTTGAGACAGCACGATGTGTGGTGGGGTCCTTGGCATTCAAAACACATTCGTTTTTTGCAGCCCGCTGTAACATGTTTTGGGGATGCACAAATAAAGCACAATTTGTGCTCCCGCAGGTATTGTGTGCGTGATTGAGGGGTTGTATACTTTGTGCATGCTATGGATTTATGCTCTTCTCCACAATACATGCACTTGTTGAACCATTTACTTGATTCTTCTTTCCCTCTATGGAGTATAGGAGATACGGTATGTTGACGAGGAGTCACTTCTCTGGTAAAAAATGATACCTTTTCTTCCGTTGTGACAAATTCTTCTAAGAGTTTGAGCAATGTTTCCATCCCAAAGGTATTATCTGCTTGTATATACTTGCGTTCCAACACTTTCCTTTGTAGTCTGATCGGAAACTTCGAAAGTACTTGTTTTATTATACACTGGTTATCTACGTGTTCATTCTTTTCTTGTAATTGTACCACAATTGCTTGAATCTGCTCGAGAAGTTTCCGTTGATCCCTTATGCTTGGTGAGGTTAACTGAACCTTTTCTAGTCTGCCGTATAGCCTATTGATTAGCTGTTCATTATCTCCATATTTAGTTTTTAGAAAATTTATGGCTTTGGCATAGTTGTCCTGTGACACTCTGAACTTCTTTACCGCTTGTAGAGGTTCACCCCTAAGAGCTTTAAGCAAGTAATTACACTTGTATAGCTCCGGTAGAGGCTGTGAGTTCACATTTGTGTCAAAAAGTGTCCAAAAGTTGTCCCAGTCCCATAAATCTCCATGAAAAACTGGAATCGGAAGTGTTGGTAATTCCATTTTCTTGACCCCTATCGCACTCTCTGTGATTTCGTTACTTGTATTATTTTCTGCGTTTGCGAATCGGGTAGGTGTGTAGGAAATGAATGCGTTTGTTCTAGCTTTTAGAAGAACTATATAGTCTAGAGAAGCACAAAGTACCGTTTCCCCTTTACTTGTGTATTCTTCAAAATCCTCGCTTTCTTTTTCACTCAATGATTCACACTTGTCTATTGCTAGCGCATAGTTTTGAAGAAGTTCTTGTATTTTGGTATTACAGGTTTCAATTGCCCCTATTCCTTCTTCTAGTCTTCGATGACTCTCCCTTATGATGTGCGGCGATGTCTCTTGGTCAGAAAATTTAATTGTTTTTAGTTGTTCGGACTTGAATCGCGCGATCACTGTCTCTAATTTCGTACAGTATTTCGATAGGAGACGCTTGTATGTCGACAGTTGCGCTGACATTGCGGTTGATGCCCTAACAAAGATCTGACGCGCGATAAGCTTGGTGCGGGTGGAATGAGTGACTGAGTGGTTTGTTATATAATTGATCGATAATTAGCACTGTGAGCTAATGCTTCCGAAATGGTTGATCAATTGTAAATTCAACTTGTATTACAGCAATAGATGCAAATTGACTTGATTGCGCAGAGGAGCGTGCTAATGTGTCAAAATGCCGAATGATTGCTGAATTTGGGCTTGTTTAGCAGAAATATGCGTTGAAACTGCAGTAGGAGAGCGAATACAGTTCAACTTGTATCAAGAAATTGTTACTAAACTTGTGTAACCAACCTCTTGATTTGATCCGGTCCGAAGATTGCCGATGCACCAGTTGTGCTGAGGTTGCGTGAGATATTTAGAACAATAATCGTCTAATACCAAGAGACACTTGAACTTGATCTGCCACGCGGGCGTATTATTGTCGTCGTGTACCTCAACTCAAACTTGGGTAATTAAACCTTTTACTTTGACTATTGTACGCAAAATTCGACAAAATAACAAATAAATGAACTAAAACTACATAACAGACAAATGAGATACAAATGAATGATGATTTCACATACTACTAACAAAAATCACTGAGAGTAGGATGCTAATGCTAGTTCTCACTGTTATGAAACTTGATTATGCTTATCCTACTCAATACTTGATGATTATGCTGTTTTAGATCTAATTGCTCAAAAAAGGTGCAAGAAAATAACACAAAAGTGATAAAACTTCAAGTCGGAAAAATATGAGCTTACAGTCAGACAAGCTTATATAATGTGAACCTAGATGATATATGAGGATAAAGAAAGTATGCAAATTATGTGAAAATGATACTTGCTTGAGCAGCCGACGAGCTGCATAGACGACGACCGTCCCCTTATCGTTCGCACCATCTGGAGTCGGCTCCGCGCTTGCAAGTAAACAAAGCATTCCTGTAAGAAAGACTTGGCGAAAATAATAATGAAAGGTTGGATCGATACATACTTGATAAATCCTTGGATTTGAAGTCGTGTTTCACGACAGTATATTATGCTATATAATTTTACACCATGCAAGCCAAAACTTTTTGGATCTCTTCATTTGAAGGGCTTTGGGCATGCTCATCACAAAAATCATATCCTCCCTCTATTATAACGCGTTGCACCACTATCATAACATTTGCGAACATCCATGAGACTTGCAATTCAATCGGCAACATTTTCCATGCTTTATACAGGGTGTCCGTAAAGTATGTAAACACTGTTTGATCGCTAATATCTTTCTTCCCTACAAATCTTTTGCCATGCTTCAGCTACTGTTTTGTAGAGCTGGCTTCAACTTAGATTTGCAGTATAGAACGAATCATCCATCTCTCTTCATTACTGTAGGATTACGGTAGAAACTTCAAAGAGGATTTTGAGCCAAGAAAGGCCATATTTTGCCCCAAAAAGGAAAGCAAACAGGCTGAAAGCTTTCACACTAGGCTAATTAGAGTTGCTGATTCTAACTGTAAAGTATCTAACTTGTTATTATGCTTCATTGAAGAGTTATGCCGGATAAGAGATAGCGGCCATTTTTTCAATGTTCCAAAAAAGTGCAGTTACACTGTTGGAAAAGCTTCGCAATCTTGCGATTAATTGAGTATTGAACTTAGCGTCCATAAAAACACTATCCCACAGCTTTCACATTTTTTTGAAAAGTTTTGAGACGGCAGCGTTTTCCATATTGACACCATATGTTTCAAGTTTCTACCGTAATCCTACATTAATGATGAGAGATCGGTGATTTGCTCCATACTGTAAATCTAAGTTGAACCCAGCTCTACAAAATGATACCTGAAACAAGGCAAAAGACTTCCTGGGGAGAGAGATATCATCGATCAAACAGTGTATACATACTTTACGGACACCCTGTATATTATCAACCTTTGGCATTCTGCATCCAAAAACAAGGCTTTTGATTTGAAATATCTACAAACCATGTATGTCTAGCCTCTGACTTCTAATCTGCTGAGATTACATAGCTCAATCAGTTCAAATCTAAACTTCCCCGAACTTGATTCGGTAAAGGGCGCACCAGGTAAGTGACGAATGGGAGACTAAAAATCGCGTTTGATTCAGGATTGATGGCGAAATCATTAGCGATAACGACCATTTCAGTGTCGTTATTTTCGATAGCTGCTGTGATCATCTTAAATGTAAACGAGATAGATCACAAAATGTTAAGTACCTACACTTCAGGAAGCTGCAACTGCGACGAAATTGAAGGAGATGGGATGTGAGTATGGTAATCACTTCTGCTTTACATAAAAGCCCAGTATCAAACAACGATAAAAAATGTAGATTTTGAAAGCAAGGATTAAAATTGGAAATGAGCGAGCGTAATAAAAGTTAACTGCTCATTGATTTCTAATCATTAGGCTTATGTCGGATATTCTTGTTACAGGAAGTTTAGTTATGATGATGGCTTGTAAAAGCATTTTCAATGACTACCTTTTATTTTCGGCAAGTTACTTTCGTTTCCAACCTTTCGCCTGTAAGAGACAATTTGATTGCGAATTCCAAATTCTTTGAAGGACTTATGAAGAAAAGAGTTGGAGCATGGGTACGTAGCATGTTTGATTTATGCCAAAATAATTATTAATGTTGATGTTTTCAAATAAACATAACATGCTTACAGGAAGGCAAAAAAACCAAAATTTTAGTCTTTTCCGCTTTCGAGTATCCCCACCAAACAAATGTCATAATGACGTCTATAGCAAAGTACGGGTATGTCATGATAGCATAAGCCCTGATGGTAGTCTTAACATTTTCACTCGTTTTTAGAGATAAGATCTACTGTCGCTACTTTGATAAGTCAATGCATGAAATCGGAAATCCATTTAAAAGTGTTGTGTTTCCCGAGTACACGGTAATGTGCCTGCGAAGGGAAGCAGCTAAATTTATTTCCCTCTCGGATACTGCTAGTAGTCAGTGGGATTATCCGGTGCCAATTACGGACCGCACACGATATGGTTTGTTTTGGGTAAAAAACTATTCTCCGTCCTCTTTTTCAGATCCTACTCACTTTTTCTCAATTTGCTTGGCTCCCATTTATGGGCTAGAACCTAAATGGCTCCAGCTTGCTGAACTTGTAGAGCATTACAAGATTCAGGTTCAAGACTTAATATTTGATTTAGATAGTAAAAACTTGTTTTGCACTTGACATCCATGTAGTATTTACTCTAAATTCTACTAGCTAACAGTGGTGATCCAAGAATTTTTTTTGGGGAGGGGGGAGGGAGGGGGACGGAAACTAGAGGAAATTTCTATCGAATGAAGGGTCTTCCCCCTTTTCTGGTCCGCTACTGCCAGCTAGTATCAATTTTTATCGCGAGAATCCCTCGCTAATTTTGTTTCCTATGAACAACGCTGTATTGGTCACGGGTTTCATTTACTCTTTTCGGTGTAGGGTGCAACACATTTCTATTTATACCTTAGTTATATTGACGAATATAGCCGAATGATAGTGGACGATTATGTTCGCACGGGTGACGCCGAAGTCATAGTTCTGCATGGTCCTTTCGAGAAAAGAGTTCGTTTTCGGCAAACCATGCAGTTACAGGTGACTTTCTCAATTAAGTGCATGAAACCTTCTAACAGCCAAAAATTATTTAGGAATGCTTGAATCGTGCAAGAGGGCATCCTCGATGGGTTGCCTTCGTTGATCTGGACGAACGGTTAACACCCACGAAATATCCTGGGACACTTCGAAGCTACTTAGAGTTGAAGCTAGAATCAAAAGTTTTTTCCATTTAATGAATTGTCATTAGTGGTGTGCGGGACCATAAAGTGGGAGGGATCGATGTACGACTACTTCTGATTATGCAGAACGAAAAATTTCCTGCAAAGTATAAGGATGCAAATCAGGTGTTTTATTGCGGAAGGCAAAGAAACTGTATAGATATGAAAGTATTTGCTAGGTAGCCGATTGGATGCCAACGCGACGGTTTCGTAATGCTTCCCGTATCGCTGGTCCATGGAAATGCATAATTGATCCGGAGAAGGTTAGTGTTCCGGGTCTTCTTTCCAAAGCTTCAAAGCAACCACGCACGTATTGAATACTGAGCTTCACTAAAGCATCGCTAGACGCAACATCCGCTGATTATGGCCAAAGTTGTGTGCAAAAGCCTAGTGGCACAAGGCGTTATTAAGTGGAAATATGACATTCGACCGTAAAATGCATACGGATAAGATGCGAAATTATCGTAAATAATCCGTCTTTTTGCACAGCCTTTGTCTAGTTTTTGAGCATTTAGTCGAAAGGAGGAACAATAAAGGTATACTACGAAAATCTATCGAGAAGTGCAGGCAAGCTATTTTTGTTGCAAAACCTCTATTCAAGAGGCTTTCCATTTTGCGAATAGCTCGTGTATTTTTCTTCATAAAATGGTCGTGTTCGGAAGATATTTGCAGATCTATGCCTGACGCTAAATGCTGAGCGTTTTGTTTTGACAGTCGAATATCCCAGATGCTCGTAGAATGGGGGCTTCTTACCAGGTTGCTTCAAAAGTTCTACCCGTTTTTCACACTTCTGTGAACATCTGATTTTAGAGAAAGACACTTATTATGTATCAGGTTGTCCCAAAAGTTCCGTCCGCTTTAAGTTTCAAGCGCAATAAGTCATCAACTTCTCAATGCCAGATAGGTTTCCGCTTACCATTTGATAGAGCAAAGCAAGCTCTACAAGACGGCTTTTTTGCTTTGGCACCAGTTTAGATCCATCTTGAGTTTGAAGCCAAAAACTAAATGGTCCAATCGCCCAAAAAATAAAGAAAAAATTATGACTCCATTCAAAAAATCCTAGGAAATTTCTAAATTGCTCACAGATACACTATCCACATCAAATACAGAGCGGCCGTGAACGCGACGCGCGCGTATCTCCACCGTTGAAAATCTGCGCCTCGAGCGCTCTGTGGCTAACAAAGCCGCGTTCGCACCCAAAGATATTGCGCCTTCGTCATGCAGCAGCGTATGAAAAGAGTGTCCCAAAAGTAAGTACACACTTTTCAATCGTCAATATCTCTCTTCCCATAGCGTCTCTTTCCGCCATTCGAGTACCATTCTTAGAGGAGGCTTCAACTTAGATTTACGGTATCGACCGAATCACCGATCGCTCTTCATTACTGTAGGAATGCGGTACGATTTTCGACAAGGATCTTAGGCCATTGGAGGCTGAATTCTACCTCGGAACAAAACCAAACAAGCCAAAAACTCTTATACTACGGTAATGGGAGCCGCTAATTCCGGATTTGAAATTTCCATTTTACTGTGATGCTTCTTTCTAAAGTTATCCCCGATAAATCGTAATTGCTTAGTTCCCAGCATTTGTCAGAATTGTAATTACACCGTCAAAAAAGCTGAAAACACTGGTAAAAAGTTGTGTAGTAGAATTAGCGTGCGCAAAAACCCTAGTACACCATTTTCAGATTTTTTGAAGAAAATTTTGCCCGATGGCATATTATACAGTGGTTCCACATGCTGGAAGAAGTTCTTACCGTAATCCTACAGTAAACAAGAGCGATCGCTGATTTGATCGATAGTGTAAAACTAAGTTGAAGCCTCTTCTACAGAATGATGCTTGAATGGCAAGAAAAGACCCATTGAGAAGAGAGTTATTGACGATTGAAAAGTGTGTACTTACTTTTGTGACACCCTGTATATACTGTTGCTGTATTTTCTCCCCGGATATAAACAAGAAAACAGAAACTTTTATGTTTTTGCTAAAGTGATGCTGTGCCTTTTTCACATCATTGGTGTACACCACAGACCAGTAAACGTATCGTGCGGTTTTTCAATCTCTATAGGCTTTAGTTTTCGAGGAACATCGGATTTAGCTTCGCGTAGTTGGGTGTCCCACACTAAAACGAATATTTCTCGAGAATTAAAGCCTGTAGAGAGCTGAAAATTCACGCCTGTACGTTTATGGTCTGTGGCATACATTCACTGATATGGGAACAGCACAACATCACTTTGGCAAAAACAAATTTTTTCCTGATTTTTATCCGGGGAAAAATACGGCAACAGTATGTATTAGGTTGGCACATAAGAATGCAACTTTTTATATAACTTTTGTCTCTTTGAACATAGCGCATTCATTTTTTGACAATATAAGGATTATGATGTAAGTTTCTAATGCACTCATTTTTGTCGAATTTTATCATCTCATATAAGGATTACGATAGGTTCACGGTACTATGGGAAAATTTTAGAATGCATCAGTTTTGCTGAAACTTGACCTATAGGGCTTATTCGACATGCTGATCACAAAAATGAGATCCGTTTGGCATGAAAAGGCCTCGTTCGTGAGATCAAAAAATGAATTTCATTTTAGCGACAAATGAATATGATATTCGTGTTCACCGTATAGGATTACCCTACAGTGCAAAGTTATAGCGAATTCTGACTTTTCACAACTTAGTTATTGGCAAATTGCCTTCAAAACTTGACGCATTTGACTTGTTCAAATTCTCAAAGGCGCCCCACCTTGATTTGTGTCTAAATTTTATTTCTTTTTTACTGATTCCAATGTGTCCACTTCTAGCTACATACTGCCTATGATTGCTTTTTTATATGTTTACTTCAGGCTTCGTAGCGCTTCATGTTTGCCAAAAAACCGTGAAACCTCGATTTTCAGCAGTTTTTAAAAAATGCTTAGATTTTTGTACTACGTTATCAAAAATCAAACGGTTTGTTGCGCAGTCTTGCAGCTTACATCGCGGTCTACACGATGCAACAAAATGGGATTGCTACATAAAATAAGAGAAAAGTTACGGGAAAAGTTGCAAAACTTATGTGCCAACCTAATATATGAGTGTCTGATGTGGCAAGTGTATCTGTGAGCAAATTAGGAATTTCTGGGATCATTTTGGGGAGTTACGATCTTTCCTTCATGTTTTAGACGGGTGGATCTTTTTAGTTTGTGGCTTTAAACTCAAGATAGATTCAAACTGGAACCAAGAAAACTATCCTGCTAGCCTACCATTTGATAGAGCTTTCTTTGCTCTATCAAATGGTAGGCTGAGATAGGTTAAAAATCTATCTAGAACTGAAAAGTTTATAACCTATTGCGATTGAAAATCAAAACGGAAGGATGGGACAATCTGATAAATGACTTACATCGTTTGAAAGCTTTCTTCTAGCTTTTTACGGTTGCTTTCTTTGCACAAGGCACTGTCCATTCTGTTGTACGCACCTCAAAAAAACAGCAAAATGCACATGTTCAAATATAATTTTGGAAAAAGTCTTAATTTTTAGTTTTTCGGCATAAACGTGCCCTTTCATTGGGGTCCCAATAAGTCACAAAAAAAAAGTGGTAAGCGCGATGCAATTAGGATCTTTTGCACTATGTGGTAAGTAGGAATGAAAAACCTTTAATAGATAAACGAAGAATTTTTTCTAAGTGTCAGCTGCGAGAATAATCACAAACAGCCAAATAATTGAATACTTCCTGAGTTTTGCGAAAAGCTTTACACAAAACTTGAAATCTAGTTCGCAGTACTTCTCAGCCAAATAATGACTAAGCAACGAGCAGAGATTGGGCTAGTCTACCAGATCAGGTTATGATTTCTCAAATTAAATTTTGAAAAAGGATGTTCGGCGATTTTCGACTGAGGAATTTTCAAAACTGCCAATGTCTTGTAAATAATAACGCGGTTTTTTTGTTCTTGCAAAGATATTTTCCAAAAAGAATTATGATATATGAAACGAGTTTTAAGTTTGAAAATGGGGAACTTTGCTCAATATATATTTGCGCGTAATTCCAAAATAAACAGCAAGATTGAACATTCGTTCAACGATCAACAAAAATCTAAAACGCTTTCACCTGTTTCAAGCTAAAGTAATCTACACTAAAGCGTTACATCCCTAATCCGCTCATTTGTCATTATTTCGTGTGAGCGATCGCGAAAGAGTGTTAACATACTTTCGTTCCCTGCTTGATATACTGCTACCGTACATCTTGAACTTTCTGCACTCAGATATGTAAGGCTCACACTTTACGGGCCCCATAGACGACATTTGGCTGACACATAAAGCTCTCATAAAACCTATTACGGCTCAAACTCAATTGAGATGCATTTACATCGGTTTTCTAAATCACTTTCTAAGCCATTTTAACAGACCGTTCAATGGATAACCTTCTACATACAACCTTCTACACCTTCTACATCTCAGTGGGAGAACCGTTTTTTACCTACAGTGTTTATCGTGTCTATGGTCTAAAAGTTGTTTTTGATATAATGTGTTGCTCGTGCGCAGGCATTTTCCGCAAATATAATACAATTTCATAATGCGTTTAGAAACAAGTTCTTGTAAATGTAAGTAGGACTGTGCGATAGAACAAAATATACCTCTACACCAAAGCTTAGAATGGACCAGAAGGGTTTGTTTTCGATTGATTGAAGAGCAAAATAATGGCGTAGAAATTTGATTTTGCTTTTTTTTCGAAAACCACTTGGCTTATTCCTTTACTTTCAGCATTCTCAATTAAGGTTTTATGATTTCTGAAAAATGCCTCCACTAAAGATTAGAGCATTATCATATACATAAAGCTGAATGTCTGTTTGTCTGTACATATATACACTTGTCTCACATGTTCCGAATAGAAAATTTTATTTCTAAACCAACACGGACCAAACTTTGCACACATACACTTCGGGGCCATGCGGGTGTCGTAGGCTACTTTTCGTCATCGATCGATATCGATTTTATCGATTTTTATCGATTTTTGCGAAGTTCGACCTACGGGGCTGGGAGTTGGCGCGGGGGGGGGGGGGGTAATCGAGCATACTGATTACGAATACAATATTAGTTCTCAAAAGTATCTATCAGTTTTATTGATTTTATGGATTTTTCTGTAAATTTTGAGCTCGGAGTGGGAATTCGCGCAGGGATAAGTGAGCATGCTGATAACTAACACAGCGGGAAAAGTGAGTTGGAATTGGTAAGTAGAAGTAAGGACAGGGAAAGGTTGTACAGGGATCTGGATGGGAGTTTACCAAAGCGTTTTGACAGGGCCGGGCGGAGCCGGGTAAGCCAGCTAGTATGACATAAATTAGAG